AGACTTGGAACATGTTGGATTTCAGATTAGGGAATAAATGACTGGTAAAGTCTATTAAATATTCCAAAATTTTCTGATATCTGAAATACGTGAGGTCCCAAGCATTTTGGATAAAGGATACTCAACCTTATGGCATTTGGGGATTGGCAACTTCATGCTGGACATGAAGAAAGGCATTATCTAACACACCAGGATTAGGGAGGCAAGCCATTAAGCAGGGCCTACATTCCTTCCTAAACAAACAGTACATGCCCTTCTGGCACATTAGCTGAATTTTTTCCCCATATCTGTTGCTAAAATGCATCTGGATACACAGCTATTTATTCTCATAAATTCACTGTAAGTCAGGTGCTTATTGGCAGGAACTACTTAATATTTTGCTTAGGATACTGAATTTAAAGAAAAGGATTTTGGGAATCTATGCTATAGAAATAAAAGCATCAATAAGAGGAAGAAATATATAAGTAAATTAAGAATATACACATAATGAACTATTAATAATAATTCTCTTTGGAAAGAGAGTTAGGGGCAGGAGAAAGTGAAGGAAAATTTGTTTCAGTTGGTACCTTTCTATAAGGATTAGATTTTATTGCTATTTTATTTTTAAAATTCTAGGCAATACAATAATGAGGCACTTATGTTTCTTTATTATGTCATTTTCTGTATTGGAAGAACTTTAAAAACAGCCTGTTGTCTCAGCTACTTAGGAGGCTGAGGCAGGAGGAGTGCTTGGGCCCAGGAGTTCAAGAATAGCATAGTAACACAACAAGATACTGCCTCACACACACACACCAAAACAAACAAAAAAAAAAAAGAGAGAGAGAGAGAGAGAGAGAGAAATACTTTGAAATAAAAGAAAATGTTTATCTTACATATCTAGAGAATTGTTCCTTTCCCCTCCTCCAAGGAGGAAAATTGAGTACTTATATTTAGCAATCCAGGCTCACTCTATGGACATTTGCTCTAGTAAAGAATCATGCCTAACTCAAAAGCTCATTGATAACATCATCTCTGAAGCCAGGAGCATGTCCTGGCATAAGTCAACAAGTATGAAAATGCAGTGTTATGCCAGGGTTTACTGAAGGAAAACCAAGGGAATAACAGCTGATAGGCATTGGTTGTTTTCCATGTCAAATAATTTCTAGAACTAGATTTTGGTGATGGTATACATAGTGAATAATGAATATATTAAATGATACAGAATTGTACTTTTAAAAATAGTTACAAATGTAACTTTAATTTTACATGTATTTGCCAGAATACAAAACGTATTTTTTTTAAAGTATGTATTTTTTTATTTTTGTAGTTGTAAATGGACAGCATGCTTTTATTTGATTTGTTCATTTTTATGTGGTGCTAAGGATTGAACCCAGTGCCTCACATATGCAAGGTGCATGCTTTACCACTGAGCCATAGCCCCAGGCCTATATTGAGTTTTTTGTTTGTTTAGTTTTCGGTAGACACAACATCTTTGTTTGTATGTGGTGCTGAGGATCGAACCTGGGACGCACGCTTGCCAGGCGAGCGCACTACCACTTGAGCCACATCCCCAGCCCCCCTATATTGAGTTTTTACAGACTGTATATAACTGTTAAASCCCTAGCCAGTAAAATAGGTCAATAAATGATGACAATTAAATAAATACTATGATTTTTTTTTTTAATGCAGTGTAACACACACAAGAGCACTTAACCCACAGACCACAGAGGTCAATTTAATTTCTGGTCATACTTCTGAAAATCAAATTCCAAGAGTTCCAGTACTGAATCTAAGTCTTATTTTAAAAATTATGCAGGGGCTGGGGTTGTGGCTCAGCAGTAGAGCACTTGCCTAGCATGTGTGAGGCTCTGGGTTCGAGTCTCAGCACAGCATATTAATAAATGAATACAATAATGGTCCATCAACATCTAAAAAAATTTTTTTTTAAATTATGCATTCATGAGTACTGTAACTATTTAATACTATAACTAAACACTGATATACACAGTAGAAAGATAGTTTATATATGCAAAGAATAATTTCTCAGGAAAAAAATTTTTTAAAGTCAATGTATGTGGAGAGCAGTGACCCAAACCATGGTCCCTGATTCCCTCATGGCTGCATCTGTGCTTGGAAATTCCTGTGTAAAGGTACAGGCCAAGATGGCCTAGTTGCTATGGTGATGCCCACCCAAGGAGGCTTTGTGCAAAGGTGCACAGCTCTATCAGTTAGAATCTTGGATTCAGACACCAACTCCCAGGGGTAGAGAAAATTCTAGACATAACCTTGATGTCGCGCAAGTTTCGATGCATCCTTCAGGCTGCCTGCTTTGCTAAAACTTTCACACAAACAAACTTCTGATGAGAAAAACTATATAATAAATGTGCTTAGCTAGCTCTGATGTCAGTCAAGCCTTACCAGGCCCCAGGCACCTGGCCCTAGCTTTTTTTTCTATGTGTTTGTCTTTTTTTCATTCCCCATCACCCCTTAGGTTTCTGAATTAACAGCCATGCTGGTTGCAGCAAACATTTTTAAATCAAAGTATACACTGCTGTTGGATCTAAGCTAGTTATTTCAACTTAGACCTCCTCAGCTTTAGGCCTTTTTACTCAATTCCTTATTTGATAGGTAAAAACTGAGGCAGAAGCGGATTCATTCAAGATCACATAGGCAGCATTAGTAGCAGAGCCAAGAACAGAAGTGATAAAACTGAAAATAGGAAGAGAGTAACAAGGGAGTGGCTGTGCAAGGACTCAAAAGCTACACACAGTTCTCCTAGGACACTACCCAGAAAACAGCCAGGGATTACCTTAGTTCTGTGGTTCTCTGCATTCAGCCCCTCATATAGAGATTTGTTGAAAGATATTTCACCAAAAATCTGCAGTTCAGTTACATCTCTTAGTAACTATTAGATGAGGGGGAGGAAGAAGAGAAACAAAACATATTAAGCATGGATTCCTTGTTTCTGAAAATCATTCACCACCTTTCCCTTTAAATGTGTGCCATCTCCAGTATTCTTTAGTCTCATTAATGTCCCCAGCATCCATTCGGTTACCAAACAAGAAATCTGCAATTAATCCTTAAATTCTTTTCCTTTACCCTCTATCTCATTCCACTATTCCTAGCCAAAGTCAGTAAACAATTTTTTTTAATCCTCTCTTGCATATATTCCTTTTTTTCTCCACCCCCATTTCCAGTTCTTCAGTTTATACCACACTGCTCTCATCTGGATCACTACAAGATATTAAACTTGATTACTAGTTCCCACATCAGAATAAGTGATCAGGGAAGGCCTCTCTAAGAAAGTAACATCTGTATTAAATACAAGAAGAAATCACCCACATGAACTTAGCAGAAGAGCAATGTTATGCAAAGAAACAGCAAATACAAAGGTCCTGTAACCATAGTAATATTGGAAAATTCAAAAGGACAGAATAGCTGGGTTATAAGAAAGGGACAGCAGGAGAGAAAAGAGAGTACTGGGAGAGAAAGTTGAAAAATTAGCCAAGACCAGACCATGTAGTTACCTTGCAGGCCAYGGAGGTCGGGGGGAGGTATGGATCAGAATCTAAGGGTGTTCAAACTTCACTTTTTTTTAAAGCACAATCTAATGTGGATGGATAGTGGTTAAGTGAATTATTTATAGGTGTGGGGAAAGCAGAGGCAAGGAGAACAGGTCCAAAGTTACTGCAATTGCCCCAGCAAGTGACAGCAGCTGTAGAGATGGAGAAAGTAAATGAATTTAGGATTTATGCTGGAAGTGAAATAGAGTTTGTTGGTGGAATGGATATGAGGTATAGGAAAGGAGCAAGTCACAGATAATTCCTAGAATTCCTAGTATGAAACAGGATTAAGAATAGCCAAGGGGGCTGGGGATATAGCTCAGTTGGTAGAGTGCTTGCCTAGAATGCACAAGACCCTGGTTCAATCCCTGGCCCCCCCCCCCCACAAAAAAAAGAATAGCCTGAATAACTGGCTAAGGAGCAGGCTGGGACAGAAAGTCATCAAAAGGCTTGTTCTTGGGCTGTGGTTGTAGCTCAGCGGTAGGAAGCTTGACTAGCGTGTGTCGAGGCACTGGGTTCAACCCTCAGCACCACATAAAAAAATAAATAAAGAGGGCTAGGGCTGGGGCTGGGGCTCGGTGGTAGAGTGCTCCCCTGGGACGCGTAAAGACACTGCGTTCCATCCTCAGCACCACATAAAATAAAATAAAGGTATTGTGTCTGTCTACAACTAAAACACACACACACACACACACACACACATATTAAAATAAATAAAGATTAAAAAGTGGAGGGAGGGTGCTGTTCTGGACATGTAAATGCCATTACAGTTTCTAAGGGAGATGGCCTTTAGAGCTGGATAATCAGATCTGGAGAATTTTGGTCTCAAAATACCTGCTCAGCGTGACTCAAGGATATCTCTGCAGCCACAGTTACATTCTCTTTTTCTGATGTGATATTACAGCTCACTGAATACCATTCGTCCACACGCTGCAAAAAGAATCTCATTAGCTTAATCCCTTTACGCGTGGGAAGGGTGAAATTTTTAACACTCAGGTCCAGAATATTTCAAGGTCCCAGAACAGGGGGTGTGAGCAGTTTGAGCGCTCACTTTGACCCAAGTAAAGCACCAATCCTGGCAAACCCAGTGAGGGGAGGGAGGAGGGCCCTGACCGCTGCCGTGCATTGCTTTCAGGGGGAATCTTGGAAAAGTAGCATCCTGGCTTCTCCCTATCACGTGCTTCAATCCCTCCCTCTCGGGGAAACCACGCTCACCTGAAAYGGATCGCTCACACAAGCGGGCTGATTCTCGGTGCACCCAGTGTAAGCCTGAAACGAAAGCCATTCCAGGGACGCACTCAACAAACTAAAGCTCCATGGTTACCTACCCCCTCACTCCAGTAAGGCCCGGTGTGATGCGCACGCCTGCCGCCGGGCACTAGGACCCAAAGGGCAGGCGAGCGCACCACACGGAAGTCTCGCGGTGTTTGCATTTGAACTGCTTGGCGGGTGTCTGCCATGGCGGCGTCACTCCCGAGATCTGAGATCCGACTCTTCCGAACGTACGGGGCAGCCGGTGGCGGGGGGCCGCGGCGGCGGCCGGGCCGGGCAGCGGCGCAGTGGTTTCCACCGCAGAACCGGAACGGTATCTTCAGCAGCGACACCAGCAACGGTAGCCCGTCGCAGTCTGAGGCTCCCGACGACTCTGACGACCCAGACTTCCCCGGCAGCCCCATCCGCCGACGGCGGAGGCGTCCTGGCCGCGGAGTCTCCAAGAAGCAGCCCACCCTGATCGCGACCCCAAGACGCCTGAGGCTGAGAGCACGGCCTCCGCTAAAGTGCAGCACCCCCTACTGCCCGCTCCGACCACCGCGCTTCCCCAGCAGCCGCGGGGGCCGTCTCAGCCCCGACTTCAGTGAATGCAGCCAGCCCAAGGACCACGACGAGCTGGGCCTCAGTGCCTCCCTGATCAGCCCCCGGCCCTCGTCTGGCCCCGGACCTCCAGCGCCAGGGGATAGTATCATCTCCACCGGTCCTCCTGCCTCTTCAGATGCAACCTCTGCAAACTCAAGTGGTTTCCACTTGTCATCAGCCTCCCTGAACCTAGCATCTCCCCCACGCTCCCAGGAAACAGCAACAGAAGGAATCTCGGTCACTAGTATGGTCCACCGAGCTCATACCAGCCTCACGTCTGCTCTCTCTAGCCTTATGGACTCGAGATATCCAGTGGATCGTGAGTGTGGGACACACAGAAAAAACACGGAGTCTTGTTGTAAAAGGAAAGTGATGGGAAACAGACTGGAGGGCACCGGTAAAAAGAGGGTCACAGGCAGAGACTCATCTCAAAAAAGAGGGTCTCAAAGGGCCACCCTGATAGACTCTGAAGAAGCCACTGGTTGCAGAGGCCATATCATACCTAGGAAAATCAACAGGCCTAAGAGGACTAGGCCAAGGCAAAAGAGGAAACATCAGGAAGCAGGGGAAACCTCTCCTCTCCATCACCACCGATTTAAAAAGAGCCAAAAGATGGGAAAAGATTCATTCCTATCTCAGGACCTGACTCATTTACCAAAGTCCTGTTCTTGGACCAAAATCAGGGCCTCCTTCAATTTCCACAAGAAGAAAATTGTGACTGATGTGTCAGAGGTAAGCAGTATCTATACCATTTCCAGTTCTCCCTCTAGGTCTTTTGTATCAGAATATTCAAACCCTCCTGTCTTAAACACAACAAATACTGCTCTGTCCCCACGGCACTCCTCTTCTTTGCACTTGCTAAGCCCTTTAAACATCATACGTGTTGCGGACAAAAAGGCCTCTGAGGCTGAAAAGGTTTTTTGGGAATGCGGTCAGGAAGGACCTATCCCCTTTAGCCATTACCTTTCCACAGAAAAACTGGAACGATGTGAGAAAATTGGGGAAGGGGTGTTTGGTGAAGTGTTTCAAATGATTGTTGATAGGAAACCTGTAGCCCTAAAAATCATTGCTATTGAAGGATCAGATTTAGTCAATGGATCCCATCAGAAAACCTTTGAGGAAATCCTGCCAGAGATCATCATCTCTAAAGAGTTAAGCCTCTTATCTGATGAGGCGTACAACCGCACAGAAGGCTTTATTGGGCTGAACTCAGTGCACTGTGTTCAAGGGCCTTACCCTCTCTTGCTCCTCAAAGCCTGGGATCACTATAACTCAACCAAAAAGTCTGCAAATGACCGGCCTGACTATTTTGAGGAAAGTCAGCTCTTCATTGTACTAGAATTTGAGTTTGGTGGGATCGACCTTGAGCAAATGAAAACAAAGTTGTCCTCTGTGGCTACAGCAAAGAGCATCATACACCAGATTACAGCATCCCTTGCAGTGGCAGAAGCATCACTGCGTTTTGAGCACCGAGACTTACACTGGGGGAATGTGCTGTTAAAGAAGACCAGCCACAAGGAGCTCCGCTACACCCTCAACGGAAAGACAAACACGATTCCTACCCGTGGGTTGCAAGTCAATATCATTGACTACACCCTGTCACGCTTGGAGCGGGATGGGATTGTGGTTTTCTGTGACATTTCCATGGATGAAGAACTATTTACAGGTGAAGGTGACTACCAATATGAGATTTACAGGCTCATGAGGAAGGAGAACAACAACTGCTGGGGTGAATATCACCCTTATAACAATGTGCTCTGGCTACATTACCTCACAGACAAGATTCTGAATGAAATGACCTTTAAGACTAAATGTAACACCACTGCCATGAAGCAAATGAAGAAAAAGATCCAGCATTTCCATAGGACAGTGTTGAACTTCACCTCCGCCACTGACCTGCTCTGCCAACACAGTCTATTTAAGTGAGCTGAATGTGTCTTACTGTCCCAAACTGAGAGAGCCCTGGTCTTAACGCCTTCGGTMCTGTTTTCAATCTCCATCCCAGAGCAGGGTAAAGTAGAATTCCATTCTTATATGTTTCCAGTCAACTTTTCAAGCAAGAATTTTGTTTTCAAGTGGAAACTGAAATATTTGTTGAACTGATTAAACTTGCTGTTAACAAATATTAAACTACATGTAAGAACAAGTATTTATAACTTATAAGTTCTGTTTCTAATTGTCAGCAGAGTTCATTCTGTAAATTCCACATTTTCATTTTGAGCCTTGAAATTGTTATATAATCTGAACAAAAAAACAAACAAAAAATCAAGAAAGCCTAGGTAACAGCTGTTAAAGTGATCAGAGCCTGTTCCTTTAAGTAATAAGCCTGGTGTTGAGAACCACATTACAGATAAGAGGTCAAATAAAAACARAGAGGCTATATAGCAAAGCAAAGACCAAGAGGGAGTGGAGGGAAGGAAAATGAAGACAGATGGTTTGTAGGGGGCAGTGTGAGAAATGTCACATTTATCAGTCTCACTCACCAATCACATAGAAGCAGAGGCAGAGTTTATCAATTTTCAAAAGGAAAATAAATGTCTCCATGACTACAAAAATGTTTGAATTTTTGCTTATTTTTCTTCAAGGAGAGGAAAATTGAAATGCTGCTTTAAGGCCTGAGTACTTGATATTCCTTCTGAACATAACTGGTAATTCACTCCTAATGTTCTCCTGTGGCTAATCTTGTTTTACTAGATTAAACAAGATCTAACTTTACTCCTAAGGCTCCTAGTTTTTATATCTTTGAGAATCCATAGTCACTCTGGTAAGAAATGTGATAAGAACTGCCTGTGAATACCTGGGTTTTTGTCACATTCTTCACTCTTACAATCTGGAGACCTTGCAATTTGATTGGGATGCAAATTTGCAACAGGAATTTGGCTCCAAAGAGATTTTCCCCATGTATCTGCCAAATAAAATCAGAATAGGAAGTCAAAGCTTAGGTTGCTTTGCCACCTGTAGCTTTGCAATAAACACTAAGCACTTACACTGAAGAGGAATTCTTTGTGGTCAGAAAGCCCCTGGCTTGTGTTCATGTACATCACAGATGGCCTGCAATTGAGAGGACTTGTTAGACCTCAGAGTCCCCTTTTAATTTTGAATGAACTTTAATGTTTTCAATAGGATACACTATGACAGAGGGCACCAGATCCTTAAAAGGAATCCAAGGCAAATATCAAATTGTAAAGTGGTCATAGGGTAGTTGAGAGGAGGTAGAATATTTGCATTCTGTATAGTTGAGCTGGTTCATTTTCTAATTACAACTCCTCAGATTAGCCTTACTTTTCGCCCTTTTTGCTTCCCAGTACCACAGCCCCTGTCTTTCCTCCAGAGTTCCTAGCCTCAGTTCCCTTTTGTAGTAAGACCAGCTGGCACTGCTCCTTCTTTGATGACCACCATAGGGTTTTTAGAACCCAACTGTGAGTACCATAAAAATCAGTGCTAGAGCCTAGGTTCTAAGCAGCTTCATTCATCTCAGAGAAACACATCCACCCTGATTACCAGTTCCATTCATAAAGAGAGAAGGCCTGAAGCTATGTGCTGTGGGCAGCCACACAGGTGTTAGCCCCATGGAGTACTTACTTGGAGAGAACTGCAATGAAGGCATGTCTGAATCGAAGGTTGTGGGTTTTTCTGGCCAAAGACCTTTGGTTGGAACTGAGAATAAGACTGTTAGTTCACAGCACAACTTCTTTGTATCCTGGCTTCCCAGTGTCAGGGTACAAAGGTGGGGGTATCAGGTAAAAAAAGCTTCTTAGAGATAAATAATTAGAATGCAAACGAATCATACTTAAGAGTAATGTTGATTTTAAAAGGATTTCTCAGCATCAATACTGTTGACATTTTGGGCCAGATAATTTTTTGTTGTGGTGTCCTATACATGGTATAATGTTTAGCAACATTCTTGGTCTCATATTCACTAGATACAGTAGCACCTCCTAAGTCATAGCAATCCAAAATGTCTCCAGGCATTACCTCTAGGAAGCAGAATCACCCCTTCCCAACACCATACTTCATGTTGCCCCTAAACCTAGAGGCTCTGCAGATAATAGTTACTCCAAATTTAAATAAATCAGAACTAGAACTTGAGTCCAAAGCTTATTCCATCAGACTATGTCATAGTTTCACTTTGTGAGAAGAACAGAACACTTTAAATAGCTTTGATTAAAAATAATAATAACTGAATCACTATGGGGGTGGACAGAGGCCTCTGTGGGTTCATTAAGGTTCCCCTCCTCCCTTGGCAGTAAGGAAGTCACAGTTCTCACAGCATGCACATGGGAGGGAGATTCCCTCAAGGCCATAGCCTCAATAGGCTTGATACAGGCACTACTTACTTGGAGATGGTCACAGTGATGTCTGCTGTCTCGTTTGGAAAGGCATTCTCCTCTAGCTGCCAAACTACTGAAATGTTTGCCTAATATTTTAAAGGGGGAAAAATGGTCACTTGATTCTTTTTTTTTAATTTTTTTTTTATATTTATTTAGTTAGTTTTCGGCAGACACAACATCTTTTTTTGTATGTGGTGCTGAGGATCGAACCCGGGCCGCACGCATGCCAGGCGAGCGCGCTACCGCTTGAGCTACATCCCCAGCCCGGTCACTTGATTCTTGTCTGTACCATTCTCAATTCTAACTGCCTACTACAAACCAACCTAGGAAACAATTTAAATTTCTTACATTTTTGTAGCACAGTATACCTCTCCATCCATTATTTTATATAAGCCTTCCATGCAAATATAGAGTAAGCAGAGCAGGCAGCATTACCCTATTCCCCTTCTACAGTTGAGATTTCCCATGGCACAAAAATAATCTCTACTGCCATTTGAGGTATTGCACGCCTGTAATTCTCAGAGGCTGGGAAGGCTGAGGCAAAAGGATGTCGAGTTCAAAGCCAGCCTCAGCAATTTGGCAAGGCCCTAAGCCACTTAGCCAGACCCTGTCTCAATAAAATATTTAAAAAGTGCTGAGGATGTGGCTCAATGGTTAAGCACCCCCCCACCCCGGGGTTCAATCCCCAGTATCAATAATATGGTCTGATGTCCCTTCTGTACTACCCCCCAACTTCACACTTTTCCTGGGATTAATCAACACTGTCTTTGACTCCTTTCAAAGCAAGCTTAGCAGATGTAAGCACTGCTGCAGACTGACTGTACAGTAAAGAGAAGCATAGAGACCACAACTGAGAGGTTCAAATATAGCTGGGATGTAAACATCACCAACTCCAGAGTTGTGCAAAGAGCCAATCAATCAGACTCATAGGGGGCTGGGGTTGTGGCTCAGTGGTACAGCCCTTGCCTAGCATGTGTGAGGCACTGGGTTCAGTTCTCAGCACCACATATAAACAAATAAATAAAGGTCCATCAATAATTAAAAAAAATAAGACTCACAGATGACCTCTTGAATATGGGGTGACCAATCTTGCAGCTCATCACCAGGGCAGAAGCAGTTGGCTTAGGGTCATCACACTGAATGTTTGGAGAAGAAGGCTGTGAATACAGAAAGAAATACTTCTTAAGGAGTAAAAAATTAACCCAGCCAGGAGCTATAACAAAATAAGTCAGATTTGGTCTATTTTTCTCACAAGCAGGACTGGTAGGCTCAGCAGTAGAGTTAAGAAATTTAAACCAAAGGTCTAAGGGTTGGTTCTGCAAGTGAGGCAGAGAACAGCAAAAGAAAAGATGAATTCCAACTAGGAGGACTCTATCCTCACAAGGAAGGAGATAATATGAACATGAACTGGGCTGTGGACCAATGTAAATGTCACTGCTTTCTTTCTTTTTTTGATCTCTTCTTGTGTAAAAGATTTTAAAAATTTTGATAACTTCATCATTCAATGTAACCCCAGATGCCACAGTGCCTACAACTGTGACTGCAGCTGTGGCAGCAGCTCCAGCTCTGTGGATCTGGGAAGAGAAAGAGGGGTAGGCGGGTGGGAGAGGAAGGCCAGCATGGACCCAAGCACTGCCATGTAGCCTTTCAACCATGGTTCCTCATCTGGACTACTGAGTACAGAAAATAATTCTCCCACGAATAGTATATCACTAGATCCATTCTAGGTGCATAAGAGAGAATTTTAATTTTTCATATACTGGATGCCATCCTTGCCAAATAGCCTAAGAGTGGAGAAAACCCATAGTTCCAACAGTGAACAAAATTACACTGTGGTATATGTCACCCAACAAAGGAAAAGACAGAGGATGGATGGAGTTCAAGTAAATGTAAATAAATCAGTTTTGATAGCCTCAAAGCAAATCAAAGCTGAGTTAAAGGGTCAATCAACAATGGGTCTAGACTTGACCACTTCCTTGGAAATGAATAAATTAATATAGATGTAAAAGCTGTGTCCAGAAATACTTTATCTGAAGCTCTATATCTCAGATAGAAATTGAAACTGCTCTTTGTCAAAATGATTTAGATTGATGGGTGTGGTGGCACACACCTATAATCCCAGTGGCTCAGGAGGCTGAAACAGAAGGATTTCAAGTTCAAAGCCAGCCTCAGCAAAAGCAAGGCACTAAGCAACTCATTGAGACACTTTCTCTAAATAAAATACAAAATAGGGCTGGGGATGTGGCTCAGGAGTCAAGTGCCCTTGAGTTCAATCTCCAGGACCCCTCCCCCTAAATGACTTAGGTCTTCCAGGCAAGAGCAAGATGGTTTCACAGTTATTGATTAAATTTCAAACAGCAAAGTTTCTGGCCATCTGTAAGTTTAGAGAATAAAATTTCTCAGTGCTGTGATAATTCATAGTTGTAGGTGTCCTTGGGAGAAAGAATATTTCCTAGTATCTTTGTACCTGGCTTTGTATCTGTGATCCCAGCTTGGTGAAGGGCTGGGCAGAATTTCATTTTCTTAGCCCAAGCTAATTTTTACTTTCTCAATGCCTTAGGGTATTTATCTCTCAAAGCCCTGGTTAAGAAAGGC